ATATTAATTATTATGCTGTTCTACAATAACAAAATCTAATTTTGTTTTACACTGCATAAAATACAGTTTAACAATATACTAAAAGCATTTAACACTTAGTTTTTACAGAAGACTATAAAATTTATGAAGTGATTTCAAGAACTTTGAAATTTTGAATTTATTTCATGGAGAAATTGAACAGAAAAGTTTAATGGAAAAACGAAAAATGAGCAAATGAAAATAAACGAAACAAAAATAAACGAGCGAAAAATAAATGAAAAAAAAAAAAATTCATGGAAAAATGCAGAAAATTTTTTTACTGTTAGGAGAAACTATTTCTAAAACTGTGGAAACTTAGAGGCTTTCTAAGTGGACTCTAACTCAGTTTACAGATCATATAATATTTCGTTATTAGATCCTAATATGAGGCCCAGTGGTGCAGTGGCTAGGGCATCGCGCAACAGCACCACAGGTCTGGGGCTCAATCCCCGGGCTGGGCAAGGTCGACTCAGCCTTTCATCCCTTGGGTCGATAAAATGAGTACCAAGTTCTCTTGGGGACTTAACACTGGGGGTCTTGCGACAAGCTGACCATTTGTTCAGGGCATATGCCCACAGTCAAGAAAGCAGATTTCGGGGCACTGCCGACCTTGGCCCACTAGGGCTGTTGTGCCACTGAGTGTAGAGTTTTAAATCCTAATATTTTGCTTTCATATTTATAAATTACATTCTTATATATTCAAGTATGAGAAAGTTCATGAACCAAATGACAGAGCATAGTGGAACAAACTTGAAGGCTAGGTCCCTGAAGCCCTCCATTTGTTTTCTTATTGAAGCTGTATATGTTGTATAAAATTTTTCTCCCTTTACTTATTCTCTAATGCTTTTTTCTCAAAAGGCATTGCCAACACCCAGCCTTTTTCTCCTTTAAGGTATAAAAATGTGTGGAAATTTATCAACATATTAAACTTAATTGGAAGAAATTAACAATAGGCATTTAAATTTCTAATTTTCAGTTAAAGCACAACTCCCTTCAAGGCATCTGCAGTTTTCCTTCAATAACTGCATTGCTGTAGACTTTTGCCTGATCGCTGCTCAGGATTTAAACAAAGATTTTCCGAGCTTATAAATACATGGTGCAGCAGAAATAACTCACTGAATTTCAAACATAAATAATAAAACAATGAAGGGTATTATTCAAAATTTTATTTCGCAGGTTGAAAGAACAATATTTACCATTTTGTTTTTCACATTCACCTTCACTTTGTTTTTAAAATGATATAGTCCATATGTCAATCTTCACTGTCTATGGATTTCGGAAGTCACATCCAGAAGTTCATCATTACCCTCCTAGTCATTTCTTATGGTATTGCTGCAATTTCTTGGCAGATAGCAGAATGTCATGAAATGTTACCTCATGCGATAGATGCTGTGGAAACACTTATTTCAGCAATTCTATTGATATTCTGGCTGAGAGATGTGGCTTCATCTTGTTGGAATCATACAGCCAAATTCATATGCTCGTACAGTTTGGGCTGCAGGAAGTTACGTAACTTATTTACATAATGGGCAGAAATTACTATAACTGTTTTGCCAATGTCCTCAAAAAGTGTGGGCCTATGAGCCCAAAATCTGCAACAACTCACCAAACACTCATTCACTATGTAGAAGTCCTTCATAGATTTGTCTTGAATTGTTCAGAGCCTTGTAGCAAAAGTTCTGTTTATTCATACACCTTGACAAATGAAAGTGAGCTTCATCACTTGAGAGAAGAATAATGTTATATGGCATGTTCTGCAGAATAGCCTCGGAAGATGCACTGCGGTTAGTGGGCATTAAGTTCCTGCATGGCCATAATTTTGTCAGGTTAGAATTTCAGGTCTAAGTGTAAAATTCTTCTTAACACTCTGATCAGTATTCCCCATACTAGTAGTATACCTGTAAGATGAACATTGTGGAGATCATAGAATGGCTTGTGTCACTGCTTTGACTTGCTGTGGTATCCATATGCTATGAGGTGTACCAGGAAGTTTACACTTTAAAGCCGAACTTGTTCTCTGGAAATTTTGGACCCGTGCATCTGTCGCCCTTTGTACTACTGCAGTTATGATGCTTCTCTCTTTTGCGCTTCTTTCTTGCTCTAGTTTGTGTGTGTCGCTGTATCGCCCATTGTTTGAAGATGGGCTAAGTTTTAAAATTGTGGGGTGTATACTATACCCATGATTCTGAGTGAAGCAAATTTTGTGTCTCCAAAAATACTCTATACAGTAATTAAATTATATTGAATTCAGCCACTTCTGTTTTCATGTCGATCATTTCCATCTAGATGGATCTGTCAGTCTATGTGCACAGTCCTCTACACCATCAAATCATTACATATATATTTCTATAGAGAAAATTGTTTGGCAGATGTTGTTTTTCAATGGTAAAGCTTCAAAATGTTTCCTTTCATATTCAAGAAAATATAAAGTTTACAAACTAAAGATACATTTCATGAATCTTCTGATGAGAGCATTCAAATTTGCAGTTAATAGTAAATTTGTGGTAATCCTCAGTGAAAATTCTTCATGTTGAATGTTTTATGCACCTATTGAAGACATTTATATCTGTTCTGTGCATGCAAATATTTTACCAATTCACATTTTCAAAGCTGGCAAGTAGGTCTGTTGTATATAGTTTTTCTCCCTGAGAGCTAGTTTATTATGGTAAATTGTATTTCCTTAATTATTTTTTATTTTTATTCAATTTGTATGTGCATTTTTGTATTAACATTTCATCTATTTTATTTTCCCTTGCATTTATTATTTGAAATGCATTTTGTGTAGAATCTGCATCAAGCTACTTGGATGTGGCATGTGTTTTTCCCAAACGTGTGATTTCACTAGACTTTTTTTTTTATTATTTACATTACAGCTCAGTGTAGCATTATCTACTGCTGATGTGTTTGATCTTTCAAAAAAATTGATCTTTTATTCACCCTCTTATCCTCTGTTCTCTTGGGAACTGTGATTAAGATTTATTCATGTGACATACAAGGCAGCGTAATGTGTTGGCTCCATTACTGGCAGATAGTGCCTCAATATTTTTCAGATATTGTAATGATAATATTACTATGTGTTTGTTTATTACTATGTATTACTATTACTGGACTTGAAGGTTTCTTTTAAAACAATATTTTGATAGTTACCAATAGTGACAACTTTTCATTTGTTTTGTATTTACTGTAACTGCGTTCTTCGGAAATCGAATGACTCACATAATTTTCCCTATCAATTTTCAGACAAAAAAAGGGGGAAATTATATGAGGAAGTAGAATATATTTTATTTTTGTAGACATGCAACTAATGCATAGAAAGTAATCAAGAGTTTGGGAAAATTTTATAAAGGTATTTATAATTACTTTAAGAAATTTATATTCATCAATATTGAATGCTTTAATTTATTGAATTTTAACAAAGAACAACAGCGTTTTCCAAATATTTCTCAGTGCAGAACACTTTTTGAATTCTAAAAATTTTAAGGAGCATTTTTTATAGAGTAAATTTGAATTTTTAGTCATAATAAGTGAATACAAGGGTGCAGTAGATAAACAAAATAAATGCTTATTCTAGTTTTTATATCATACATATAAAAAACATTTTCTAATTTTTAATGTAACAAAAATGGAAATTGAAACTAATAATATAAAAAAATAAAACATTTTTAGTTTTTAGTATCTTTGATATTTTTGATTTAAAGGCTTTCTACAGGTAGAAAAGTGATTGTAAAATAACAAAAAGAGTAAATATAATATGTAAATAACAAGAGGGTAAGACAACGTCTTCAAAGTACAACAGTGGCCGAAAGTAAAAGCTGGCTGATAGGGATAGACGGGTCATGAAGTGCATAGTAGCCCAAAAGCACAAGCAGTGGTTATCCGAGATAACATCTGAAATGAACAGTCATCTCCAGGACTCCATTTCAACAAAAACTTTCAAAAGGGAACTTCATGCTGCGAACATTTATGGCAGAGTGGCAATTTGTAAACCCTTGGTGACAGCAACCAATGCTTACAAGTGATGCCAATGGTGCAGAGATCAAGGCTGGCCCACACAGCAGTTGCAACAGGTAATATGGTCAGATGAATCGTCATTCACCCTATTTCAGATGACTGGACACGTTTATGTCTGGAGAACATGCAAAGAAGCATTTCATCCTGACTGCCTCTTATCGACTGTGAAGCATGGTGGTGGCGCCATTATGGTATGGGGTGCGATATCTTGGTGTAGTCTTGGGCCACTTGTTATTCTGCATGGGAGGATCACATCCAATCACTATCTAAGCATTCTAGGGGATCATGTTCATCCTTTTGTCCAGACTGTATTCCCCGGGGAGCGACTGCTTTTTCAAGACGACAACGTCCCTATCCACAGTGCTAGGTGTATTCAAGAATGGTTTGAAGCGCATGGCAATGCAAATGAACATCTCGCTTTGGCCCCCTCAGTCTCCGGACTTGAATATTATTGAATATTTATGGGCATATTTGGAGTCCAAACTTGGTTTCCGATTTCCACCTCCATCCAGACTTTCGGAATTAGAGACCGCTCTGCAGGAGGAATGGCTTAATATTACTTTAAATATTGTGCATGAACTTTATGCATCTTTCCCATGTCGCATTCAATCAGTACTTCAGTCAAAGGGTGGTCCAACCCCCTATTAATAAAGATTTTCTATTATTTCACAGGTGTTCGTATTATTTTGTCCTCCATCTGTATATATTGACTTATTTATTACATGACATATATTATTGACTTATTTATTACATGACATATATTATTGACTTATTTATTACATATATTATTGACTTATTTATTACATATATTATTGACTTATTTATTACATATTATTGACTTATTTATTACATGACATATATTATTGACTTATTTATTACATATATTATTGACTTATTTGACACATTTTGTTCAAAATTTGCTGTAATTAAAATGATGTAGTTTAACACTAAATTTTTTTGTTTCTTTTTAGTTTTGAAAGAAATGCTGGGAATTATGGAATACCTCCACCTCAAAATTCATTTCCCCCTGTGTCTACAGCAATGTATGGTACTACACCAACATGTTCCTGGGCTCATACTGTTCCACAACTCATGCCTTGGGTTACAAAAAGTGATACAAATATACCAGAGATGATTGTACGCTTTACTGCACCTTTTCTTCCAGATCCTTGCACTTCACAAACTGCTACAAGTTGGGAACTTTTGAACAATTTAGGAGCTAATAAAACCAATGTGAATATGCATTTGAAAAGGAAGAGTGATTTAGATTTAGAGTATGTTAAGTTCCTCTTTATGTAACAGGAGACTTTTGAGTAATTTTCTGTTAAAGCCATACCATTTGTTTTTGGTGTCACATTGACAAATTTTGGCTTAGTTCTTTCCCTCTATGCCTCTGGCTCTATAATGGAGTGATTGGGTCATAACTTGTAATTACATAACAAAATTCTCCACAACAGATTGGAGAAGAAATATGGCCCTATCAGTGGTATCAAAATCGAAATTGCATGCAGACTAAATGGATGATCTAAAAGCAAATCAGAAGCCTGATTAAAATATTTTTAAATAAATTTTAAATTTAACTCCCTGAATATATGGTTTTTATTTAGTCCAATATGTTTAGTTTCAAAACATGATTTTACATTGTTTCACATTTTATTTGAGTCTAGTGCCATTTGGCAAAATTTAAGGTATTTAAGATAATTTACTTTAATCTTTACTAAGTTATTTAAAAAGCAGAAGGTTTTTTTTTTTTTTTTTTTTTTTTTTTTTTTTTTAATGTCTCACTCATTACTAACATTTCATTAAGTGCTTAAATATTTTTTTTTAAATGAAAAATACTGGTTTTTTAGGTAATAAATCTTGCTTATTAGGCCAAAATCTCCGGAAAAAAAGGCCTATTATAATGTATATATGTGTATAAAAATACATTTATGTCATGCTGTGAAAGAATTAAAATTTTGTTGCTGATGATTTTTTCTTTGAATAATAGATAGCTTGCATAGTCTTTATCTGGGCACAATTTGCAAATAATGAGCAGAATAAAGTACTGCATTTTTGTATGCATGTATTTTAATACAACTGGTGCCTCTGTTGTACAGTAATAATGTGATTGAGGTTAATAATATCATTAGGATATTATTATCGATTTACATAAAAAAGCATGAAGCATTGTTTATTGTGATCAAGAATAAGTTAATATGATCAAAATATTATACAATAAATGTTTTAAACTGAAGTAAAATCACCAAGTAAGTTTAAAATGCATTATAAAAATTTCTAAGTGACAGAAATGTTACTAAGTAAGGGAATACCTCTTCATGACAGGTGTATTTATTATATGAGGTGTGATTTTTATCACACCTCATATAATAAAAAAAGAGAGAGAGAGAATGATGAAGTATTCTAATAGCTTCACTTAAATCTATATCTAAACATGCATTAAAAATAATAAAATATGTAATCAAATATTATAGCATAAATGATTCAGAAAGGAGACAGTGTATGATAATCTACTTGCTATCATTTCATTAGTTATCAAGCACATTTTTAGGTCGGACTTTTTAATTCTAGTCCAGCAGAATAATTAATCCTAGGAATCCCCCCCTTTGAAGCACATCCAGAGGATTATATTGATTTTGGATGAAGATGGATTTTTCACTCATCTTTTGTTCATAGAAATAATTAGTTTCTTCAATTATTATGTTTATTAGATTATTGAAAAAAATGGTGACAAAATTAATTTCATTCACATAACCTTGATTTAAATTTACTTCTGCAATTTTCGTAAATTCAGTAAGGCTCCAATTACTTAACAGATTGAGTTCATGATGGAGTAGCCACTGTTCTGCCGGATTGTGAGGCAAACAAACTTCCAATTCAGTCTTTGAGAAAATTTTGTATTGAAATCACTATCCTCACTTAAATATAAAGTTTTCGGTGTCAAAATAGACACTCATGGGCTTTACAATTCAGATATGAAACTCATATGCTCTTCTGTTAAAAACTTCTTTCTGTTAGACATTGCACAGTTAGTTTCACTCTCTTACCCGTTTCAAAAAACTTACGTCTGCTATCTAAAGAAGATGCAAACTGAATACAAACCAGTTCCTAAAACCACAGCTCCCCTCGCAATCTTCCTATAGGAAAAAAACAAATTTGACTGTTCAGCGTTTATATCATGTGAAACCAACTGTGCATCAGCTGGGTTTTGGTTACTTTATATCATCTGATCGTACATCTAAATGAATCACCAGAATCCAAAAGTACTTCACGGACACAAGGTCAATAATATATGTATACACTCTTTCGAAAAAAAAAATTAAGCACCATGAAGGAAGTGGTTGTTTTTGATGAAATTAAATATGTGTATAGCTCATACACAGATAATAAAATGATTAAAAAATCAAGGTCATAGTACCTGTTCATGGCTCACAATCACCCATTGAGTGTTCAAATTAGTAGTTGGTCAAACCGCCCCTGGCCGCAATGCATGCTTGAATTCGTCGAGGCAAGGAGTGGTAGAGGTTCCTAATGTCATCCTGCAACACATTCTGCCAAGCATTCATCAGTTGTCACTCCAGATGTGTGATATTTTGTGGTGCCCAAATCTGGTGGCCTACTATATCCTAGACATACTCGATTGGTGAAAGGTCTGGTGACTTTGCTGTCCAAGGAAGAGTATCAACCACATAGAGACAAACCACAGATATGCGAACAGTATGTGGCCTGGCATTATCTTGTTGGAAAATGGCCCCAGGATGATGTGCCATGAAGGGTAATGTAACTGGCCACAGGATGGTATCAATATATCGTTGAGCTGTTAAAGATGTATGGAGGATGACTAAAGATGACCTGCTGTCATAAGAAATAGCACCCCACACCATCACACCAGGGGTTCATGATTGGGACCCTCCTCTCCAGACATGAACACGGTGCATCTGCTTCAAGAGTGAAGCGAGATTCATTGCTGAACACTATACGATGCCAGTCTGATGGCAGCCATGATGATCGACTGCAACATCACTGCATACGACTCCGCTGATGTTATGGGGTCAAAAGCAAACGTCTTAAAGCGTGACCTCAGCTCTGACCTCTGTGAGTGTAGCCACAGCTCAGACAAGCGCCGTGTTATGGTGGACGGTACCACTGGAGGTGTAGACGTGGCTGGTAATGCGTTGAATAGTCGACAATGATACCATTTGGGCGGTTCGGGCCTGGCGAACAACCATCCTATCTTGCCTCGCATTTATGCTCCTTGGCCTTCCAGAGCGTTCATTTCGTAGGCAATTTCCTTATAGAAAACATTGCTGGCAATATCTTTGCACAGCAGTGTCTGAATGCTGCAAGTGGCAGCCTATTGCTCAATATGACTACCCAGCTTCACACAACCGTACAATGTGACCACGTTCGTAAGTCATTTAGTTGTGTGTAAGGTCTTCTATATCATCATAATGGCATCTTTACAGAATTACAATGGCAGCAACAAAAAAAGATAAATTTTCCGCCTCTGTAACTGGTTTTATACTTTGCGAATTGCGCACTAGAAATGTGCGCTCTGATCGCAGTTCCTGTTCATTTGCCTTGAAACTTTGATCATTTGCATGTTCGATCAAGATGTTTTTGCATACCAAATTACGTCACGATCGCAAAAGTCCTTCTTGATGCTTCGATTTTTTTGCAAAAGGGTCTATGTTCAAATAAACTAACTGTAGTGGAGACAAAGTGCCATCTAGTAACTTAAAAAAGTTTTAAAGAGCATATATATTTGAAAGTGCATATATACCTCACCCATCTCGAAGATCATTGCAAGCAGCAATGCATCATAGCATCACCCAACTGCTAGCGACTTGTGGGACTAATGCATATATGATGCACCCATCTGCAGGGGATTTATAAGTTCAGCAATATGCCATTGTGAAGGTGTTAAGACATCAAACATCTTGGTTTTAATTTTAGTCAACCATTTAAAGTAAAGCAAAAGAAACAGCTGTAATCTGATGTAGGTTTTCGATAACTTTATTGATCTTGAGGGGATCAGACACAGGTCCCTATTCTTTGAAGAAGAGATTTTTTGAGCTCAAAGGGACAATTTGCCCATAAGGGCTATTAATTTTGTTTTGGCATTTTGCGTTGGTTCACCATAAATGTCGGTCCACTTTTCAGTTTGTTGCCACCAAATATGAGAGCCCTGCAATATATTTAAAGAAATTAAACGATGAAGAATCCGAATAAATGTATGTATGTTTTTTGCACCATGAAAAGACCTAGTGACATCGAATTTTGAATAACGTAGTCCCCCATTCGAATATGGGCATCTGGAAGCCGGAATTTGTTTTATTATCTATTTCATATTTTGTCAAACATTAAAGAATTTTTGATTAACAAACTCAATGATTTCAAAGCGAGCAATGGCAACATTGTATGAAAGAAACATTTTTATCCCCAGTACATGACACTGTGTATTGGAAATTTTAAAGATATGCTCTTTAAAATATTTTGTGGTACTGCTGTTGAATTACATTTTATGGTTTAAGTGCAATGAACATGATATTTAATAAGTAAAGGTAATGCACAAAATGTTAAAAAACGTCCCCTTGGGTGAAATATAAAATATGAAAGTTTTGGATTTTTCTTTTTTTCTTTCTGTCTTTATTTCTTAATTTTTTCCCCTAATGTTTTAAAATTAAAGTTGCTTTTATGCCTAATTTTAAATTCTACATTCTCTTCCAATGAGTATTAATATTAGGAGTACAGTATTGATCAAATAATTTCTAGAAATGTTACAAACAGTTCATAAATTAACTTCTGAGTTTTCTCAATTAAAATGTCCCACCAGCAGCCAAGTGGTTAAGTCAGTAAGTATGATAGTTGAGTCCTGGGTTTGAATTTCATTGAATGGGCTACCTACATGGGTATTTTCATGGTTTTCCAACATGTGTGTAGTATGTACACAAGCAGTTTTCCTAAGAAAGTCCTCCACAAAGGCATCCCTTCCCTTAGGCAGTAGTTTTCAAGTGTTTTGTTATAATCAGATAAGCCTAAACCTAATTAAAGTGTTGTAAATGTGCTTATTTATATGTTTCTAGTTATACTGAAATTAACTATTTGATGGTTATGAACGAGCTCAACTTGCATTCCAGTTACACACTACATTGGGTTCAAATGATTACAGCTCACACTACAGATTTATGACTGATGGATATCATCCGTGTTTGGGAAGAAATAATTGCTTAATCTCACTCCCGCTCAAAGGTTAAATTAGTTACCTTTCAAT